CATTTCATTTCATTTTATTACCTTAAAAGCCCAACGGGGCATTACATAAGGGGTGGGTTAACATATGTTCATTATACATTGTTAGAAATGACATTTGAATAAGCATTATTAAACATGACGTGGAAATATGGTTTACATGATTTTGTGGTATATACAATCAGTTGGAAAGATGAAAAATGACATCCAGTAATTGTTATTCTGAAAAATGATGAGATATCTCTTGCATGAATGCGGGTGCGCTGGTTAGGGCGGCAATTTGGTGAGGCAGGCTGTTCCAATCTATGGCTGTGCGAAGGAAAAAAGAACCTGAAAAGGTAGTAGTACGAGTGCGGGGGCGGCCCACATGGTTGATGTGCCCAGTTCGATGCGACGTTCTGCCAGGGGGAATAATGTACGGCGTTTGATTGAGCGAACAATGATAAAACTTATGAAAAAGAGATAGTGATAAAACACGGCGACGAGAAGCAAGGGTCGGCAGACCTAAGTCCTTTCGCAATAAAGACACGCTGACATGATATGAATATTGAGAGTGTATGAACCTTACAGCACGGTTTTGCACGGTTTCGAGAGCGTTGCTTAAATATGTTTGGTGGGGGCTCCATACTGCGCATGCGTATTCGAGTTTAGGGCGGATTATGGTTTGATAGGCTAGTAATCTAACATGCTTTGGGGCTTGTTTTAGGTGGCGTTTAAGGAAACCAAGTGATTTATTAGAAGATGAGATGACGTTAGTGATATGTGCGTTCCAAGATAAATCTTTAGTTAGGGTAACACCGAGGTATTTGTATGAGGGCGAAGCTTCTAATGATATGTTATTGATTGAATATGAATAGAACAGAGGGTTACGTCGACGGGAGAATGTCACAACTTTACACTTAGCGGGGTTTAGTGTCATTAGCCAACAGTCACACCATTGTTGCAGACGGTTAATATTTGCCTGAAGAGAAATTTGGTGAGATGTATTAGTAATGGTTTTGTAAATGACGCAATCATCCGCAAACATGCGAATATTACAGGTTACATGACCAGGTAGATCGTTAATATATATTAAAAAGAGGAGAGGCCCGAGAACAGATCCTTGAGGAACACCGGAAGTTACACGCAGGGAGTCAGAGGTGCTGTTGTTAATAAAGACAAACTGTGAGCGGTTATTAAGGAATGTTTCAATCCATCGTAAGACGTCGGGGTGTACATTTGCCAAAGATAGTTTTAGTAGCAATCGTTGATGTGGTACCTTATCGAACGCTTTCGCAAAGTCTAAAAATATCGCGTCTGTCTGTTGGTTAGTATCGAGATTTGTGTGAAGATCATGCAGAAACGCTGCCAATTGGGTTTCGCAAGAAAACCCTTTGCGAAATCCGTGCTGTGAAGGATGAAGATATTTATTCGAGTCTAAAAATTTCATGATTTCTGTATAAATGACATGTTCCATGATTTTGCAAGGTACGCTTGTAAGTGAAATGGGGCGATAGTTAAGTGGGGAATTCTTGTTCCCTGATTTATAGATTGGAACAACCCTTCCCACCGTCCAGTCATGAGGTATGGTGCCTGTGGAAAGTGACTGAGAAAACAATAGACATAAATAAGCAGCACTGATATCTTTAGTATTTTTTAACACTTTTGAGTTTATGTTGTCTACTCCGGCTGAAGATGATAGTTTGAGATTGTCAATTAAAGAGGAAATACCATCAACATGGAAAGTTATAACTGGCATGGTATTAGGTGTGCTTGACGCTGTAGAAGGAAATGGTAAGCTAACTTCTTTGGTGAATACTGACGCGAAAGCTGCATTGAAAATGTTAGCGCACTCCACGTCGTCGACCGTTTCACCGTCTTCGTTAATTAGCGTGTTGCTGTTTATATCTCGAGGATTAATCACCTGCCAAAATTTCCTTGGATTGTTGACCAGCATCTTGGGCAGGTCTTCGTGAAAGTACGTTTTTTTTGCTTCCCGGACAGCTGACAAGTATGCGCGTTCCGCTGTGTAATATTTATCCCATGCGCATACATTTGTGGTACCTTTTGCTGCTCGGTATAAACGTTTCTTTTTGTTATCCAACCTTTTTAAAGAATTGCTGAACCATGGTTTTTCTGGTTGCGTTCCTATCGCTATCCTTGGGATGTATCTGTCTGCTAGGCTGTTAATTTTTTCTTTAAATATTTGCCAATTTGTATGGATAGTGCGTTTATTGAAAGACGTTTCAAATGAAGCTAAAAACTCACACAGGTTATCGTACATAGCTTTGTAGTTTGCTTTCTTGTAAAGATGTATAGTTTTTTGTACTTTCAAGCGCGGAACTGCCCCAAAGTTAAAGGACGCGTGAATGACCTTATGATCACTGATTTCTTTTAGGTAGGCGATCGATGATAATTTGTCTGGTTGGTTTGTTAGTATTAAATCTAATACGTTAGCTGTGTTTTCCGTGATACGCGTTGGTTGAGACACTAGTTGACTAAGATTAAAATCAAGACAAACGTCAAGAAAGTTTTTTACCTCCGTCTCGTTTACTAAGTGGGGAGATAAGTTGTGCCAATTAATGTCTGGAAAATTGAAGTCTCCGAAAAGGAGAAGGCTAGCCTTGGTGTGCTTCGATGTTATTTCGAAGAGTGCATTGTTTAGCTCAATGGCAAAAGCTGGGCTACTGTGGGGGGGTCTATAGCAAACGCCCACAAGTACTGATTGTGGAGCGGCGTGACAATGAATGAAAAGTAGTTCTAAGTTCGACCTGATACTAAGAACAGAACACGATAGTTCCTGGCTGGCAGCTATGAGGACACCTCCGCCTCGTGCATTCGGACGGTCAGCACGAAACAGACTGAAATTAGGCAAATCTGTCAGTACTTCCGAATCTGAAATGTGGTCGCTAAGCCAAGTTTCGGTAAGAATTAACATGTTGCTTTTAGATGTCAGCACAAGGTTGGACACATGTTCACGTTTTGAAATGAAGCTGCGTATATTAGTGAAGATTACTGAGATGGGAAGACGTGACTTGCCTGTTGGTTTCGGACGACGGATTAATTTTGTCTCGATTTGTGGTTGCTATGCTTCTTTGACTGTTTGAGAAGCTTCATCGTATACGTACCGCTTTGGGCCCATGAACAGCGTTTTGAAACGCAAGGAATAGGGTGCAGATTTATCTTTAGCGAAGGCGACAAGGTGTTTACGGGCGTTCCTAACAGCTGGTGAAAAATCTTCTGCGACGCTAAAGTCAGTGCCTTTGAAGTTACGCCCTTTTGAAAGAACAGCTTCCTTCGTTTTATAAGACACAAATTTTACTATAATTGGGCGTTTGCGGTTACAGGAATGCCGACCAATTCGGTGTGCCCGCTCCATATCCTTGGGCTCAAGCTGTACCTTTAGGTAATCTGAGCAATGACGTAAAATAATTTTTTCAGAATCTGATGATGGCTCTGATGCAGACGGATCTGGAAGGCCGTAGAAAACCAAATTATTTCGCCTAGATCTGTTTTCAGCATCGTCTACACGCGCTTCCAGTTTATGGATCAGCTGCGCCGTACGTTCGCTGTCTGCCTGTATAGATTGCATGTCTCCTTGCAAGGCTATCACACTTTGGTAATTACCCTCGAGGTCCGTCAGCCTTTTACTTAACGTGTCCAGTAACGCGGTCGTAGCCATAGATTGGTTCTTTAGTTCCTGCATTTCAGCGATCATCTTAGCCTGACCAGCGGAAATCTTCTTCATTTCGGCAAGCAGCGCGGCATTATCTGGACCAGGATTGCTTTCAATATCACCGGAAAGCAATAATAGGGATCTAATCACGGAAAGACACTGAAAAACAATGGAAAAGCAGCACTGCGGGCTCGGTAGCTGCACAAGACAATAATTACTTGTTTTTTTAGCGAAAAGAGGATGAGATTTACAGACCTGCATGATGAACAGAAGCGGATTAGTGGACCGCATCATGGCAGTGCCACCGAGCCCACAGCGCGCGGGGGGTATTCGCTGCTCCTTTATAGGCCGCTGGCTGGCTGTTGACGATGGCGGTAGGGCGAATGGCATCTTGTCGAGGATCCATGCTTGTACTGGTGGCGCCATTGAACGGGACGATTGGTTGCCGATTCCGATTTGCAAATTGATGACACAGCTGGTGCACGGGTTCGCCTTGGCCAACGAAGCGCTCGTTGATTCCGCGGGAAAGGGCAGCAACATTCGCATGACGAAGGACGTCATAATCTGCATGATGAACAGAAGCGGATTAGTGGACCGCATCATGGCAGTGCCACCGAGCCCACAGCGCGCGGGGGGTATTCGCTGCTCCTTTATAGGCCGCTGGCTGGCTGTTGACGATGGCGGTAGGGCGAATGGCATCTTGTCGAGGATCCATGCTTGTACTGGTGGCGCCATTGAACGGGACGATTGGTTGCCGATTCCGATTTGCAAATTGATGACACAGCTGGTGCACGGGTTCGCCTTGGCCAACGAAGCGCTCGTTGATTCCGCGGGAAAGGGCAGCAACATTCGCATGACGAAGGACGTCATAATCTGCATGATGAACAGAAGCGGATTAGTGGACCGCATCATGGCAGTGCCACCGAGTTCCCCGTGTGACTGAGCCTTGATCGACTGCTCCACTTATATTCAGGCTGGTGCTGGACCATGGCATTGTGGGCTGAGCAAGCAGCCCGCCTGATAACACCAACAGTGTTTCAAGGTTGAGTTTTTAGAAACATTCATTGCACCTCATCATGTAAAAGCTTTTTGAACAAACTCGCGAGCGTGAACAATTCACTTTTAGTGCAAACTTGATTAATAGGGATGGCAGTCACTTCCCCAATATACATTGAGGAAATATTGCACTTCATTTGTTCGATGGTCTAACTATTATTTCTAGGCACGTCACCACAGTGGGTTAGAGCCACTTGCAACAGAAATCACCCCCACCATAACCACTACTACCATCATCACTACGATCTCGCGCACACATTCGCACCAAGTCACACTTCGTGAGGCCGGAAAAATGAGCAGCTCGACGGTAACGATGGTGTCGTCCTCTTCGAATGAGGGAGAGACGACGAAGCCCCGGCGCTCCGCCACGACTCGCCTGGTCGCTTGGCTTCCAGTCGTCATGGTAGTGGCGCTCTTCATCTGGGCCTACTACGTCTACATCTTCATTTTCTGCGGCTCCCTGGTCAAGGACGACTTGCAGCGTGTGGTGTTCGGCGGCGTGTTTCACCTGCTCCTGCTGCTGTGCTTCTGGTCGTTCGTGCAGACTACCGTGACCAGCGTGGCGCCCATACCGCGCTACTTCGCGCTCAGCGACACCGACGAGCGGCTTATGGACCAGTGCGCTGACGAGGAGGCACGCTACGAGTTCCTCGAGATCCTGGCCGACAGCAGAGGAGTGCTGACGCGAGGCCCCAATGGGTTGGTGCGCTTCTGTGAAACCTGTAAGCAAGTCAAGCCCGACCGTGCCCATCACTGTTCCCAGTGCAAAAGGTGAATGGCTCATGTGCGTTTTTGCGACAAAAAGCGGGAGGCATATCTTGCTATCATATCAACAGTTGTCAAACAGTTGATACAACAGTTGTCAAACAGTTGTCATATCAAAGTTGTCAAACAAGGAATACATTATGCTGGGCTTGTTGTTCTCGCAAATAGCTAAGAGGAGTCCTTTCGGCGAAATTTTTCGTGTATTCACATGCCCAACTTTTTGAAACAATGCTGACTGCTGTTTAACTCGTTAGTGTGGCGCGTCAAACACCGGAGTGCATTGGCGTGATTCAACAATATTTCCTCGAAATGCAATGACTGCTACTATATTGCTAAATACACTACTTAGTACAGCTACTGATGCCGCTATCATTATTTCTGCTACTAGGAGCGTGTGTGTGAATTCACACACAGCCTTGTAGTAACAGTAGTAACGATAGCGTCAAAGGTCTACGCATTGTTTGAAGTGTATATTAAAATATAGTTTATATGACGTTCCTGATAAAAGTACCATAGGCACGTGGCGCGTATCATAAGTTTCAGCTTATTCCTTAATCAGCCTCTAAAATACAAAAAGAAGCGAACGCGTTATTGTATCCTGGTGTTTCTCGTCGTTCCGGTGCACTTCTTGATGTCAGACGGGCAATTCGCGTAGCGTATTGGTAGTAATAACCATGACTGCCATGCACAACAAACTCACTGATTTCACTTCGTCTTGCTCTTTTTCGACTGCACAAACGGAGATGGCAGCGTGCAGCCAACAAGCGCAAAACCCTGATAGGCGGGCGTGGTTCTTGATATGTGGGGTTCAACGACGTCCCTAAACCACCATATCATTGTGAGAGACGTCGTAGTAGAGGGATCCAGAAATTTCGACTACCTGGGGTTATTTAACGTGCACTCAAATATGAGCGCGTGGGCCTACAGCCTTGTTGCCTCCATTGCAAATGCAGCCGCCGTAACCGGGATTCAATGCCGCGACTTGCGGGTCAAAAGCCGAGTACCTTAGCCACTAGACCACCGCTGCTAGGCGCACTGGCCGCAAAGGAGCGATAGGAAGAGAAGAGATAGGAAAAATGAGGGATACGGTTGAAGGAGTCCGAGGGCGGGGCAACCCGTAGGGACCTACACGGCGTCAGGAGATTGTGGATGGCGGCGCAATCGGCGAGAGCTACGCTGGCGTCGGAGATCGCGGTTGACACTGCCGTTCAGCGCAGAATACAGCAAGCCAATTCCTGATATGCTCAATGCCTAGTGCTAACCTTGGGACGTCTTTATGAAGAAATAAGTGGCGGGGAGGTGATATCGCTTGTAGGAAGGGTAGTAAACGTAAGAAAATACCAACCTCTCGTCGTTGAACTCTGAGTGGTTTAGAGGCCGAGTAAAATAGGCTGTTTCTTATGCTCAGTTGCGTATTTTTTGGTTGACACGACAAGTAATACAATTGCGCTCTTGTACCAAAGTTATCTTGAGCATGGTGTGATTTTCCTGCATTATAGCTTGCCTGAAGACTTGCTCCATGCCACGAAAGCTGATGTGTATTGTAAGTACCGCAAATCACGCTTAACTGTTACCAAAACGCACACATGAGAGCCATAAAAAAAGCCATGATTTTACACGAAGAGTATTCGCCCCGAGACAAAGCGGTGTCGCCGCCTGGGTGCCAGTGGCTGAAGTGCGCCTAGTGTGAACTGCTCCCTGCGTCGTCTGCTAGCCACAAAAGACTACCATGTGCGTGTACGTCATGCTCGTCCTCAAAGAACGCTTTGTACCACTCAGCTGCAGCAAGTTTAAAACATTTAGTGCGTTTGCGTATAGCGCAATGTAGAGACGCATTTGGCCTTTCTCGACTGTACATACACTGCAATAAGATCGGTTCGGGCCACGGTGTGAGATGTTTGGGCACTTGCCGAGAGTTCTGTGTATTGTCGTCGCATACCCTCCTTTCACCAGGATCATGAAGGTGTAGGTAGCGCTATTTAGTTGAAGCACATCGAAAGTGCGCTGCGCGCGTCTCAAAAAGGAGGTGTAATAAATATTGTGTGAATGCAGCATATTAGTGGCTTAGGGGTAAACGAAGTTGTACTTTGTTAGGTGTCTAACTGTGGAGCTTTTCCTTATCGCATGAGCTTTAATTTTGCCAGAGAAAACTTTTTATTGTACGGTATTGGTCTAACTACAATGAAATATTTGTCTAGTAAATTCTGACTCTTCGGTATTTAAATTATCCCTTAAAATAACAGGAAATGAAATCACGTGGAGGTTATTAAACTTGAGTAGCCCTGCGTAATCTTAACATTGGACCAAGTTTATACAAATACACCCGTGTGCTAAGATTCGGGTTCGTTTAAAAAAAACAGATGGTAAAACATAATCAAAAGGAGTACCTCGCAGATATGCCGTATAATTTGAAGTGAAACGTTCATTTTTTTTACGCTATCTTGAGCGCTTTCGTGGTGTTGTTAGTGTGATGGAAGTAGCGGGCATTATTTGCTTGAAAAAAATAATTTTGTCCTATCCAATAATGGAACCTTGGTTGCACCACTGTTGTGCACGTCGTAAATCTGAGAACGCTGGGTGGTGAGCAGCTACGTAGTTTCTCTGGATAAACTTTTCAACGTTTCAGCGTGAATTTTATGAAGAATTCAATGAGAAAATGTGCAGATGCGTATTCGTGGCTCTCGTCGCCCAAATATAATGAATTTCTTTCTTTATATTTTTTTAATATCCAGTATCAGCATGCATGATGCAAAGAATGAATTCAGTCGAGCTACAGCAGTGCATATTAGGCGGGTCACAAGCTATAAAACTGCAAGACACTTGAAAAAGTACAAAAACTCAGACACTCGCCAAGCGTGAACATCTCTATCAATGGCAAGTTGCGTTTCTCTCACAAGTAATAGTAACGTTCTGCAAGCTGCGCCCATCCATTCGACAATGGACGACTTATACAGGGTGTCCCAGGTAACTTTAGCCGGGGTGTAAAAGTATTCCGAAACATGTAATTACGACGCGACCAAATGCATGTTGCTCACCATTGCCTGGAGTAAGTCAGACTATTTTTCGTGTTCTCAAATATTGTTTAATGTATCTGTTTAATTAACTAACTTCTGAAGGAACGCAGATGGATAAAAAGGTTCAATGAGAAAGTTGTCGAACGGTAGGGAAAACGTCCAAATAGATAGTTTAGAACTTTATATGTGTTAAGTATTACAGTTTTTCGGCTCATTACAAATGCCCGTGAAATACAAAATACCACGTGACAAACCCGCTCGTGCGCCAGGGCGCACAATGATTCTAGTGCTCCATAACGTTCCGCGTAATAACGACCATAATATTTGCCCCATTGTGCTGTCTCGGCAGGGCTGCAACAATGATGGTGGCTTTACGATGAACACGTTTTGCTATGGGCCACAAAAACGATAACCGCTGTGAGTACTTATCGCTGTCACGAACCGGTGCGAGAGAAGTGTGTCGTTCGTACGCGGAACGTTATGGAGTACTAGAATCATCTTGCGCCCTGACGTGCGAGGGGGTTTGTCACGTGGTATTTTTTGTGTTTTGAGGGCATTTGTAATTAGCAGAACAACACAAATACGTAACAGATATAAAGTTAAAAAAACAAATTGGACGTTTTGCAAACCACTCTACAACTTTCTCACTGAAATTTTTTATCCATCTTTGTTCCTTCAAAAGTTAATTAATTAAACAAATCTAATTAAATAATTTTTGAGAACACAAAAATAGTCTGACTTACTCCAGGCAATGGTGACCAACATGCATTTGGTCGCGTCGTAATTACATGTTTCGGAATATTTTTCAAATCTGGCTAAAGTTATGTGAGACACCCTGTATACTACGAGTAGGCTGTCGTCAAAACGTTTTATTTGCCGTCAGTCGACTCACACCACTCACAGAAAGCGCCGCTGCACACATTGTATGCGCGCCACCGGCCTACTATCCACACTAGCGTGGTGACGGTGCTGCCACCTATAGCCCGATCTCGGAGCGAATACACTCTAAGGCAGAATGGTGTTAAAAGGGTGTGTGGTCCGTCCTTTTGGGAACTAATGGGGCTGCCACAACCATTAATCCCTTTAAGGACTAACAGCACCAGGTCTAACAGTTAGTCCCCACAGATGAGCTCAAGGAACTAACATTCAGTCCTCACACTTACACCTTAGTGAGTAACCGTTAGTCTCACAATTCACCTCAAAGGACTAACATTTAATCCTCACCTTCGCACCTTATAGAGCAACTGTTAATCTCCACATTTACACCTTACCGGGCAACCGTTAGTCGTCACAGTTGCACCTTGCCGGACGAACGATTGATCCACTCAAATACTCCAATCGGATGAACTTTTTGTCCCCAGTTCAAACATCGTTTTTTTGTTTATTTTCCGCCAGGCCTAATACTTTTTCACCTGCTTTTCTGCGCAGTGAGCAACAAATTGCGCAGAAATGAACACGCGAAAAAGTAGTTAGCCACCTATGTGTAACTGCTTTCGCAGTCATGGCAACAACCAACGACAAAAGTGAGACATCGATATCTTTTATTTTTCTACGTACACATGAAGCTTCTCTATTCTTTTAAGTGAATTCATGGTGAAGTGTAAAAGTCCAGTCTCGTTGTCAAATCTTGTTCACCCTTTAAGGAGCTTCTCCGACGGAAGCGATAAATGACAGGCATTGCAGACGCCCGCGCACGCAGCCTTCTGCCTGTTGTGTTCTCACGGCTGCACGTACAATAATATAGTAAAAATAGTTAGACACACGTGAAAGAAAATGAAGATGCACGCATATGACAAGAACGTGCACGTTAATATAAAAAAAATTGCCCGCAGCTTCCCTCGGGGGAACACTGAGGAGGATGCGGACCATATAATTGGTTAACGGGGTGTTAAAGTGCGACTTACTTGGGTCGATGGCTAAATTGGTTAACGTGGTTGTGAAATGGGGTGTTAAATTGCGACTTACTTGGGTCGATGGCTAAATTGGTTAACG